TTTGTAACATATGGATCGGATACGAACATCAGCCTCCAGAAGGCGCCCAGCACCATTCGGAAACTCAAAATTCCTGACGTTTGTGCACGAATACTAAATCCGGACTTCCACTTCGTTCCTGAACACGAGAGACCGCGTGGAGTTGAGGTATTCTGGTTGAAGGCAAGATTCAACGATTACTGGCATCCGACACTCCAAGGTGAAGGACCTCATGCAGAGAAGCAATACATGGACTTCATCAAGAAGGTCTACAGCGTCTGCTGCTACAGCAATGCTCAATCCGAAGTTTACGGAACCGACATCATCCCGATGGTGTGCCACAACGGCAACATTGATCTCGATAAGACCGTCCAGAAGGTCGAACAGGTTTGCAAATATTTCCGCATGGAAACATCCCAGGCGAAACAGATCACAGATCTCATCCTCTGGCGAATTGAGAGAATGAGCAGATCGTTTTCCGGATGTCTTCGACATGATCCAAGGCATGGAATCCATAAGGAATGCAAACGGCAGGTGGAAATGGGTCCTGATGGATCCGTCGAGCTCTATGACGCATTGACCTGCATCACGCATGCCAGGAACTTCATTGGAAACAAGCCAGGACTTCTCTTGATGGCTATGTTCCCGAGCTATGGAAAATCACGTTTCGAAACTTCCATCCGTGGACGGGGCATATAATGAGCGCAAGGCACGGGGAGAAATTGTTCCAAGGAATCGATGGATCGACAAGCTCACCACCAGATCCGCACAAAGTGCACTCAGGCCCGATGGCAAGGACTTCTATGTTGATCCTGAGATGGAGTTCTATGTGAGATGCAACAGCGGACACACACGGCAAGTCGATATCCAATCCTTTGGACGACCCCTGTTCTCTGAGCAGAAAGAGCCTCATTACGACGAACCGGACTATGATTTGCCAACGGAATCCATTCCGCCAAGTCCGCATCCGTCAAGATCCGAGGCACCTCATGGAGATGAAAGCACAGCTCAGCCCAAGTACAGAATGCGAAGGCCGGCACCACCATCCGTTGAAGAAGAGAGAAAGATCAAGCCGTTCTCGAAGAAGCCCATCACATTCATGTTGCATGCAACCTATGGAAGTCAGCTCTACAGCATCATGGAGCACGGGCTCAAATCTGGGAAGTCCCAGTCAAACCCTTCGGGGAGAATGCACGTTCACATGGCATGCATCGATGACGTCATCCTCGAAGACGATGAGTCAGAAACCGCATTGACCCATGTGCCAGCAGGAAGAGATGCGTTGCTGATCCTTGCATTTCTCAAGGACCAAGACTATGGCATCCGCCTTTCCGACGAGAGAACAGCGTTGACAGACAAAACCATCGAGGCAAGAAACATTGTTGCAGCATTCGAACCTGATGGCAGCCTCATGGCGAGCAACAAGTGGATCATGAAGAAGTATCTCGATCATGAAGATTACGAGATGTACGACACCAAGATCCGCGAATTTGCTGATGCCTTCTTCACGTATGTGAATTCCACCAAGCACAACAAGGAAAAAGATACCACCTCAGAGACCAAGAAGAGACGGCGTTCCACCGATCAGGACTCCACCGAAGGAGAAATGATGGAACCCTCCGGGGAAAGATCCGTCAAGCCCAAGGTCATCGTGGAATATCGCAATTCAGAGAACCTAGAAGAGTTCATCCAAGAACTCAAGGGACTCTATCTCGAAATAGATATGAACAAAAAGGACGCAGAGGAAGAGCTCGCGGGGATCAAAGAAGAACTCAAACGCTTCATGAACCAGTTCAACAAAGATCCGAAAGGAGCTCATCCCAAGTTGACAGAGTGCCTCAGAGCCTCATTGGCACATGTCGATCCTGATGTCAATCTCGGTGAAGAAGAATTCTACTTCCCTCATCGAGGAGAATGTCCCACCATTGACGAGTACAAGCAAGCTCAACCAGGATCCGGATATCCGATCAAGCTGCCGCTTGGACTGAAGAAGCTCAGGTCACAAGATGACCCGAAAATCATCCGAGCCTATGCCGATATCCTGGGATCGCTGATGCAGCCGACTGACCGTCCTTCCGTGGACTATCTCAACATGCATGAGTTCACCTCATCCATAGGGATCAACATCCTTACCCTGAACCATGGAAACCTCACAAGGAATCCAAAGTTGGACAACAGGGAGGTGTACAACACGCCGATGAAGGATCGACCGATCGTCAAGATGATGATGCAGAACAGTGCGCACATCTTATGCCTGAATGAGGCAGACGCATTCTTCAGTCCGAATGATGAGAGATCCAGGGAGCTCATCAAGACGTTCATCAGATACGGTTACAAGGGCATTGTGATCAAGCAATGGTCATCTAGACCGATCGCATGCTTTGTCCGCGGCGGACCCTCTGCACGAGTGGAACTTCTGGCAACACACATTTCTACCAAGAGCCAGAATTGGGGAACCACATTCGGAATGTTCAGATGTTTCTTCGGAACCAAAGGAGATGGCACTGATCCCGAATACGAAATTCCGACCTCGGATTGCTTGGCAACCACAGGAACATCCATGTTTACCGAATCCCATTGGATCGAGATTGCCAGCACGCACCATTGTCCAAGGACATGGCCGAGACAAGGAGATCGTCGTTCTCCACATCGAGCAGAGTGATGAGTTTCGTGGCATGATCCCGAAATCATCCGACAAATCATACTACGAGTATGACGACCGCCACATCACGAGGGCAGACTTGCCATTCGCGACCATTGGAGTCTTCCACATCCATCCTTCACTTAGTCATGGAGCAGCAAAGGAAGATCTTCAGAATGAAATCATGCCGCTCGTGACCTTGTACCGATGCGATGCGATCACCGGAGACGCCAACAAATCGGCGAACACCTACAGCAAACTCCAGCATGTCTACAATCCAACCAACGGTCTCGTGAACATCCTCATGAGAGCATATCAGAGACTGTGGAATGCGACGAAGAATTTGCCACTCGTGGACAGAATGGAGTATACAGTGGAGACTTCGTGCACCCTGAAATCCATTGTCCGTCATCACCTGTACATGAAATGCGGATCAGGTTTTGATCGAACATTCCCAGATGTGATGATGACTATCGTATTTGGATGGGGCAAAACGAACATCCAGCAGGACTTCCGGAAGATCGAGATGAACAGTATGGATGATGAACAACTGGAATTCATGCGGAACCATCCAGACAAGGCCATTTTCGATTACCAGGTCTCATCCGCAGAGCGCTACAAGCACGTGAACAATGAAATGTTCATGAACGGCTCGCAGGACTCCGACTCCCACAGTCCTCTCATGGTTTACATCCGCAGCAAATCTGCAACCAGTAAACGCAGCTCTGAGAGATACCAGGATTACGTCAAGAAGAGACAATCCTGGACCACGCAGGAGTACAAGGACTACAACAAGCAGTGGGGATATCAGAAGCAGTGGAAGGACTATAGCAGTTCGACCTGGAATGATTATGGAGACCATGGCAGTCAATCCGACAGCAGCCGCCGATGGTATCGTCGATCCGACTGACCATGAAGATACGTTCAGCACCACGAGCGATCCAGATGATTGATCCTCCTCTTCTACAAGACTATACCATGAGTGAGTGATCAATAGTTTCACAATTGTTCCGCGTGTACATAGCGTTGTACATCACCCTTTGATACAATTAGGTATCCAAAAAGAAGCGTACATAGTGTTTCCCATTTCGAAGGCCAAGACGTTTCATCCAGCAGAAAAAGGATGAATCCGGCACTTTTAATCACATGGCTACGGCACACATTAAGGCTACGGTCAAAGGCCATGAAGCCAATAGTATTTCATACTTTGTGCTGGAGATCAAAAGAAATTTGTGTCTGTTTTGTGTTCTGTTTTTCAGACCATTGATCTCCCGCAACATTTGGCTCAAGGCCCCCTTTTGCAGAATCACGACCATCCGAGCGTGAGGACAAAAGAGCCATTGCAGGCCGCTTACAGGATTATCCATCAGACAATCCACCAGGGACAATCCATCCTCCAATCATCCATTACTGGCATATTGGACTCTCTCCGGAATAGATCCAGGGACCAACAACGACCTCAACCAGCACAGGGATCCAGTTCCCTCCACGGATAGGCGCCTGGGGCAGTGGGCCTCACCCCCCCACCCCCGCCCCCCCCCGGACACACAGCAGCACTGTGGGTTATGCTGTTAGACAAACTCCATCGGACGCCGCAAGTTGGCATGGAACCCGATCTGAATACTGGTCGAACCCATCTCCCAACTGGTGATTACTTCGTTTTGTGGATCTTGCGATTCTAGCTGTGAAGGTACCTTCTTGGGGTTGCAGCCAAAAGTATGCCGCTCATTTCCTAGTTCCCATAGTTTGTCTATATTTAGTCTACCCCTGAATGTAGCAATATTTTGATCTATACCTTTTCAGTACCTCATCTCACTTCGCGCACAATGTTTGGCCATTCTCCTGCGGCGATCCCTGCACTGGCCCTCCCAACTCGATTGCGCCGATGTGCACTTATTGCGCATCTGTGGCGACTTGGCGCCCTCAATGGTCTGCTTCCGAGAGTTACACGCCAGACAAACAGCCGGAAGCTCTCAGACGGCCTCTGTATGTGGAACCAAGTCTTCCAAAGGAGTCTTGGGAGCTTGCATGGAATTGTCCGGGAGGGTAAACCGATTTCAAGGATGGCCGATTTCTCCGTGCCGCGGTGGTGCCCTCTCTGGGGCTGATTTTTGTTGGTATTTCCTTTGGGTTGGATTTTTACAGGGAAGCCAAAAGGAACACCCACATTTCTAGAGGTTGATTCCTTTTCCATTCTTTTCAACCATCCTTCTTTCCGAAAGCCGGCTCCGTTTCCCCCGGGTTTTTGGCCGGTTTCCGTTAAAAAAAAAGAATTGGCTCCCAAAAAAGGTAGCCCTAGGGTTCGTTTTGGGGGGATCCGGGATCCCAAGAGACACACCTCGCCCTCTCGCCCTCTCGCCCGCTCGCGCTCGCTCTCCAGGCACTGGCACCATTAGAGCCGAAGAGGAAGGCGGAGGCGTCTCAGGCCGCCGCTGTGGCGAGCCGCGGCTTCTGGGCCCGGCTGCGCCCCGGCGAAAGGATCGGATCTCTCCAAGGCTCCTTACAAGATCTATACATTTTGCAACCATTTGAAACATGGCTGCTTTTTCAACACCAAAAAGAAGGGAAACCTCCTCAGACTGGCCCATTTTGGAGGGAAACTCTAAGTGACCGTGAGCTCTTGGGAGAACGGTTCTCAGACTCGCCTGCCATTTTTTTTTGTCTAAGGAGGGGGGGTAGCTGACAGGTCTGGGGTTTCGTAGGGTTTCTTGGGTTCCTTTGGGAGTCTTAAGCCACAACGGAGGTTTTGGGGGGGTTTGGCGGGGTTTGGGGGGTTGGGTGGGAAAAAAATGGGGCCTTGACCGGGGCGACATGTGGCGAGACATGTCCGCCAGGCCGCGAACGGCTCAGCAGCTGGCGCTCAGCTTCCTGATGACTTGGCCGGGCTTCAGGAGGCGTTTTGCGCCGGAAAGCCGGGGAAGCAAATTTTATGTTTGGGCGGTTTATGGAGGTGCGTTTTTTTGTTTTTGTTTGGGGGGGGGGCTTGTGTGTGTGTGTGTGTGTGTGTGTAACGTGTTCGCTGCTAGAGGGAAGCCGAGTGCATTGCGAGCCGAAACTTATGCATGAAGAACCTTATCCAAGCCGAAACTTACCAGTTGTACTCGAAAGATTAGCACCCTCCATCTGGAGTTTAAGTGTGTGTGTGTGTGTGTGTGTGTGTGTGTGTGTTTGTTTTTGGTGTTTTTTCTTGGTGTGTTCTTTTTTTTGGGTCGTTTTTTTTTTTTTTTTTTTTTTTTTTGTTTTTTTTTTTTTAAAAATTTTTTTTTTTTGGTGTGTGTGTGTCTTTGCACGCATGCGAAGCGACACACGAAATGATCATGCCATCAATTACTGTAAAAGAAGCCACAGAAGCAGAAGTCACTTGCGCTTGCACTTGAAACATTTGCATGCATCTGAATACCTACACTAGCACATGTACCAGTTGTGCCATGCTCACCTCATCTCGGCCATTTTTGCTACTTTCTGAGCTGCATTGGAATGTACCCAGGTCTTCCCATTTTGTTTCTAAAGAGCAAAACCACACGGGAAGCCTTCAGATCCGAAGACCCCTTGCAAGGCTGTGCGCTGCCTCCCGCCAGATGAAGGACTCCTGCCACCAGCCCAACAGCTGGCAAGGCGGAAGAAACAAAAAAAGCTCCGCGGGCTGGGTGAAGCCACCCACCAACTAACATGGGTTTGTGGAAGCCCCTTTGAGGAAAGTCGTCTTTCTGCAGTCTGTGCACAAACCCATGTTAGTTGGTAGGGTAAACCCCAAGAATCTATCTATCAACCAGGAGCTTATTGATGGACTTTGTTCTTATTTCCGAGCTTCCACTCAAAACATCATACTTCTCACTGAATGGGACAAGTTACCCATGGTCATTTTGGGGCCAGTGCGAAAGACCGAGGTGCATTAGTGTCTTGTTTTAAGGGGACCGGGCCCCTTTGGTTGGCTTGAAGGAACCCAGAGGAGAAAGAATGTTTTTTTTGTTTTGTTTTTTCCTCGAGACAAACTTTTTTTGCAGCGTTTGGGAGGTACAAATCTCATGCTCAAGATGTAGGGGTAGTTCCAACGTGCCAAGGTCACAATGATCCATGGATATGCGTATGTATCAAAGGGGGGAACACGAGAGTGGTTTCGTTTTGGTTCTCCTTTCAACCAGCCCCAGAAATGTGGCTAATAAAGACATGCAGCACGAGATTGAAAGTTTGGGCACACGGGTTGGCACAAGAATTTTGGGCTTGGACTTGTCAATAGCCACGTGCTCGCCCAGATGCCATCGTGGACATGCCCAAAAATCACAAAGCCACTGATGTCATGGTCAAGTTGTCGACATGCGTGAGGAGCATCCGGTTTGCAGTCGGATGTTTCGAGACTTCATAGAATCAGCCCGCAGGCGTCCTGGTCACGGCGGAGGGCCTGCAAGCTGGACCTCGATCAAAGCGCCTGCGCTCAAAACCTCCAGGCCTCTGTTGAGCCTGCGCGAAGATGTCCGTTCTCGTTGGACTTGGACTTGTAGACCTCTGAATGCCCCAGAAAAGGAGGGCAATTCACTAATTCACCAGTTCCAATGTCAAAGATCTCTGTGGATTCAGTGAGCCAAGAAGTGACTTCTTTTTATTCTATTGCTAAGGCCCATTTATTATGTAGACTGGACACAACCGCCCGCAGATATTACCAGTGCGGATAGGCGGGCAGTGAACGCTTGAGCACAGAGTGCCTGTGTTCAAGGAATGCAGGTTTCTGGTTTTTGGCCCTTGAAACTGTGAGCACATAGCAGGCAGAAAAGACAGCAAATCCCTTCTGCATTTGAAAACCGGGTTGCAGTGGAGTTAGAAGAATGAATTGAGGGGATGATGCTTGAAGTCGGTACTGTAAATCACAGTACAAGTCATAGTTTTGTTCTTCCAATTTTGTGGCCAGAGCATGCAACATTGAGCTGAAGGGAAGCTTGTTGCTTCAGCCGGAGCTTGCGTTTGCCCATGAGTTGCCAAGCTTCCTTCGCGCGATCGAATCGCTGACTCGCCGGACCTAAGGGAAAGTCACCTATGTTGCAGGATGGCATCCCGGCCCGCAGTGATTTGTGAAGGGCACCTGGTGCTTTGAATCTAACTGAATTCACTTCACGCCAGTTGGTAGGTGGTACATTCAAGAGGAGCGTTGTCGTCGGCTTAGTTTTTGTTTCCTTTTGTTTTCCTTCTGTGGTATATCCCAGTAACAAATTCAACCGGAGCGTCGTTGGCTTAGTTTTTGCTTCCCGTGTTCTCAGATCAGGTACAAAAGTAGAATCCACTGGATGGCTTTGTTGGCCCCCATTGTCATGTCCGGAAGGTCCCGCCCGCCCGCAATGCCGAGTCAAGGCTTGAAGCCCCCGACATGTTGTACTGCTAGGTATGTTGCGTCAATGAGCACTTTGGAAGATCAGTCCAGAGTGCAGATCTACCATCCACGAACTCACTGCCTTAGAACAGAGTTGGAGACTGGCCCACTTCTGTTCACACTGTGATTTCCAAAAGGTACAGTAAGAACATAGTGCAACAATACGGAGGCGGCATCTTGCAATTTTGGCGCAGGAAGCAATGCTCGCCTTGTGGCAACATTTGTTTGGAGTGCGCAGAGGTGTTCTTTCATCTCCGGCTGGGGGTTTAGGAACACGTACAGCTGTGCATTTTCTCAAGATACTCCCAGCCGGGACTTGCGCCAAGAATCAGAACCATATCAACGCATTCGTGGCGCGTTTCTGATGCCGCACAAGGCCAAGTGGTGCCGTCCGGGAACTTGTGCACACCCGCCAACAAAAAACAAAAGATGGAGCACTTCACACGGGCGCAGTTTTACACAGGTTTTCATGACCAGGATGAATGGAGTAGGGTCGGTTGCTGTCAGAAGCAGACTCAGCCGCCCTCTTGCTTCACTACATGGTTTTAGGTAGACTCCTAGATCAGCAGGTTGTGACTCAAGTGTGACTCAAGCAATCCATTTTCTTGCGGAGTGCACGCGTTTTGAGGGATCCCGGAACATGAGGGCCTTTTCAGACTCAAGTGTGGGGTCTCCCGGAGGTATGCATGTGCCGCTTGGCGGTCCTGGCTTTCAACCAAAACCAGCCCATGCTGCTGGGTGATAGCTGCGAGCCTCTGCAGAGGCGACTGAGAGCTGAGGGCACAGAGGTTGGCACCTGTGGATGTTGAAAGCGAGCATATCTTCTGAATCTAGTGACCAACAGTGGATGAAGGCTGGCTGATTTGATGCAAGAGCCCAGGAAGCTTCGACTAGTTCCATCTTGATCCTGTGCTGCCCAAACGCTGTTCCCTTCCGCTCAGAAGAACCTGAATGGTTGTTTTGTTTGGTTGCAGGCCTGCCTGCCTGCCTGCCCGCCTGCCTGAGTCCATTTGTTGGTTATACGTTCCAAAGACCTTCCTTGCGGTTTTTTAGGGATCTTCATGGTGCCTTTCCAGGAAACAGCCAGGCAATGATCACCGGATTCCTCCGAAGGGAACCACGTGGCGCATGTTTTTTGGGACTCTACGACACCCTCTGAGAAACCTGGGTGCATTTCGACCGCAGAATTCGCTGGTTTTTGGTGTAGACATGTCCTATGGATGGGTGCCGGCGCACCAGGCTGGCGCAGCTCTTCGACCTGCAGGGCGTCGCGTGGCAGATCCACTTGTCTGAGGATGAGCAGGAGAAGTGCCGTGGCGGTAGGCGGTTGGTGAGACTGGGAAAGGAATTTGCACTTCACGTTTGAAACATGTTCGCCAGGACCCTAAAACGTGTTGGTGGGGCCAGCATCAACCCTAAACAGTGTTGGGGGTGGGCGAACCTCGGGCTTGGCGCCAACATGTTTGTTTCAGTTCCCTTGGCAGCAGCTCTTTCCGTTCTTGGAACTTGAACACATTGGCAAGCGCTTGCTTGCGCTTGCTTGCCTTGTTTTGGATTTTGGTTTTTGCGATCAGAAGCCCAGGTTGTGAGTTTGGAGGACCTGCTATGATTCATCGACAGCTGGGATGGCCCGAGGTTCATGATCGTGCCGCGAGACGCCCCGAAGAAGAAGAAGAGGAAGACGCGGCCGAGAGGACGGCCTCCAAAGCCGCATGGGCAGCGCGATAAATCGGGATGTGGGGCAAGCTGTAGACTATCAACACCGCGCTCATGGCTGGCTTCCAGACGAGAACTCTCCCTCTTGGTGAGCCCAAAGGTAACCAACTCAGTTGGCCCATAGCGTGAGAAGCTGCGAGAAACGTTGGACAGCACCATCTTGCCAAAACATTAGCACAACAGCCAACACAAAACAACTCCCCAAACGAACATGGAACCTTTAAGGGGGACCCTTCCGGAGATTCCTCCGTTTCTTTGGTGCATTCTGCTTGGATGTTAGGACTTCAACTTTTTGCCAACTAATGAGTTTTTCGTATGAAACCACTAAAAGTTAAACACTTTTAGCAGGGCTGAAAGCAGATTTCGCAACCTTGGGGTTCTTCTTCCAATTCGCAGAGCAAACTCACTCTCCGCGCAGTTGCAAGTTGCAGGACATATCATGAAGCCGGAGGTTGTGGTGCAACTCCCTGGCAACGACGAGACTTTGGGCCGCAAGAGGGGACGGGGCTCCGGGCATTGATTTGATTTGATTGGATGAGATGGATGGATGGATGGATGGATTGATTGATTGATTGATTGATTGATTGATTGATTGATTGCTTGCTTGATTTATTTATTTATTTATTTATTTATTTATTTATTTATTTATTTATTGATTTATTGAGTGATTGATGGATGGATGGATGGATTGGATTGGATTGGATTGGATTGGATTGGATTGGATTGGATTGGATTGGATTGGATTGATTGATTGATTGTTTGATTGTTTGACTGATTGTTTGATTGATTGTTTGATTGTTTGATTGATTGATTGCTTGATTGATTGATTGATTGATTGATTGATTGATTGATTGATTGATTGATTGATTGACTGACCGAGTGACCGAGTGACTGCCTGACTGACTGACTGACTGCCTGACTGGGAGAATTGATCCGATTTGTTTTGGGTTTACACTATTTTATTTGATTTGAATTGATTGGATTTGATTGGATGGGATGGATTGATTGATCGATCGATTGATTGCCTGTTTGATTGATTGATTGATTGATTGATTGATTGATTGATTGATTGATTGATTGATTGATTGATTGATTGACTGACTGACTGACTGATTGAATTGATTCGATTTGGTTTGGTTATATATTTTGACTTGATTGGATGGGATGGATTGATGTACTTTTTGATTGATTGGTTGGTTGGTTGGTTGGTTGGATGGATGGATTGTCTGTTTCTGACTGATTGAGTACTTGATGAGTTTTGTTTCCCTAGTTGGTTCGTTCGTTTGTTTGTGTTTCTGTTTGTTTGTTTGTTTGTTTGTTTGTTTGTTTGTTTGTTTGTTTGTTTGTTTGTTTGCGTGTCTGCTTGCTTGCTTGCTTGCTTGTTTGCTTGGTTGTTTGTTTGCTTGTTCGTTTGTTTGTCTGCTTGTTTGGGTTGTTTTGTTTTGTTTGTTCCGTTTCTTTCTTTTCTTTCTTTCTTTCTTTTTCTTTTTTTTCTTCTTTCTTTCTTTCTTTCTTTCTTTCTTTCTTTCTTTCTTTCTTTCTTTCTTTCTTTATATGTTTGTTTTGTTTGGTTTTGTTTGTGGTTGTTTGTTTGTTTGTTTGTTTGTTTGTTTGTTTGTTTGTTTGTTTGTTTGTTTGTTTGTTTCCATTCCCTTTCCGTGTTTTTTGCTTTTGTGGACGGACTCGCACAGTCCGTGTGTTGCTTTTGTGGTGTTGGTTGTCTGCCTCGTCGTGACTTTCTCTTGATAAAGGGATACATTTTAAGGGGCAATCCTGTGGATGGAGGAAATCCATTTCGCACCACCTAAGACATCCTGGAATTAGATGATTCCCCCGCAAGGTGCAAGGACATGGCCGTGGGTCAAAACCAATGGTACCATTTTGGGGTAGGTGCATTTCCCATTTTAGTCCATTTTAGTGGGGATTGGGATGTTCACTGGGGGTATTATTTGGATTTTGACCCATGGCCACATGGGCAAGCCTGCTGGATGTTCTGGAAAGAAATTGGGACCTGTCGGCTGAGGTTCAAGCCGCACGAGCTCGCCCTCCGCAACGGCACGCCGCCCGCTTGCGAGAAGCGGGTTCCCCCCCCAATCGGCGGGTTGAATTGGTTTGGGGATTTGGGTTTGAAGCCGTGGTAGAGGGTAAGTGGGAAACCCCGGAAGACCTCACCACTCCAAGTCAATTCGGAAAACTGGGAGAAACGAGAGACGAGAGGTTCGCCGCGTTAGGGAGCGTCAGCGATCAAGTTCTACCCGTCGCGGTGACTGGATGGTCGTTGCTTGGGCCCTTACGACGGACAGCTTGATTATTTCGGGGCAGAAAGAGTCGCCGGCCCGCGGAGAGGGAGGGGCCCAACCCCCTCCGCGGCCGGTAGAATCAGGAAAGCCGTCCAGCAAATCGCCAGACAGGTCATCCAGGGTGCGATTGATGAGGTAAAGCGGATAGCGCATGCGGCACTTGCCTTCAAAAACCATGTCGTGTTTGTTGCTGTCAGATGTTTTGAGAGCAGTTTTACTTTGGCGGGGAGCTTCCCACCCTGACTGCAGGCATCAGATGACCCTGGTTGCAAGCAATCATCTGGTGCAGATGAGGCCCACGAATTGGTCGGGTTTAGGGTCGGACGAAGGAAAATCCCGAACCAGTCTGCAGGTAGTTCGCCTCAGTATTGCCAACTGGGGCACTAGCATGGAAACTCAATCAGGGCTCATTGAAGCGGCGAAACACTGGCTTCTTCTACGAGCGATGCAGCTAGATAGACACGGACTAATGGAGCCAGCAAGTTCATTAATCCTAGTTAGTTTGCTTGTGGAAGAAGCTGTGCAGCTTTTCTGAAAACGGCTCCAACAGAGTGGTGGGAGCAAAACATATTGATCATTTTGGGTTTGCACATCTTTCTTGGTTTCGTTGCCCACACAGATAGGGATCCTCTGTGGGTCAGGTCTGAATGAGTGATAGGTTAAAAGGGCTCTCCAAGCAATTTGCGAACCCTTGCACAACGTATCGGTTTATGTCTTTTTTGAGGGTTCTGTTTTAAGCGTAGTTTGAGGGGGACCAAAAGGAAACCGCCATTTTGGGCCCCCTATTTGACACATACTCCTCAAACGTTAGGAAGCTTCCGATACACGTTTGAGTCACGAGATCGTAAAGGCTACCCCTGTTCAGTTCACGGGTTAGATCACGGGCTCGACACGGGTTCGCCACGCTCTCGGGAAGTTCCCAACTGGCACGGCTGCGCTTGCTGCATCGGAGTGTAACCAAGCTTGCCAGCCGTGACTGCGCAGGCCGCATCATGGCACTGTGGGTGGCTGCTGGTATGAGGTTCGGCTCTCGAGTTTGGGCTTGGAGAAAGTTTGCAGAAATTGAATCCAAGCCTCCCGGATAGGGACTCTTGGTCGGCCTAGTTGTGTGTGACCGGAGACCCCATTATGTTCCAGCTTAGACAAGCTTCAGTCCAGTGTCCCGAACCTGACTTGATTGAGCCTCCACTTTTTGTCAGTATATGAACAGAATACTGAGAGTGGGCAATTGATCCAACAACAGAACAATTGCAACACTTGCAGGTCAGGAAGCAGCCGAGAAATCGTGTCTTCTCTGCTTCGGGAGCGATCTTAATTTCCACCCCATTTGTGTAAAGTGTTTTTTCATTGGGCATTGAGACGAGCACACACACACACACATTCAACAGCTTTGAATAGTCAAATCTCAGAAATAATCATTAACACAACACCATTCACTCAAGAGACAGATGGACATTCGTTCGACTTCTGGCCAACAGTTAGAGTAAGTTTGTTTTTCCCCCGGTTCGTCCTTTTCAAGTGCCTGCAGTCGTTTTATATCCTACGGAGGTGGTGGGTCCACAAAAGCCGCATCCAAAACTGTCAAGTTCAAGTGCCACTTGTGTTTTGGATGGGCTGCAGGGGTGTGCATTCAATTTGCAGGGGTACTCATCCAGTGCAGCGCCCATTCGATTTGCTTTCCACTTTCCACTTGCAGGTCTTTTCGGCGGAGGTGGTTTGGGACTTTGAGCCTGACATCGTCGGCCGCCCAGTTGCGGCGTCGGACTCGCAGATTCGCAGCTGCGGTCCGGTGAGATCGGAGGTTTGTGAAGTGAGGCGATTCATTTCGAACGACGCGGTTCGTTTTGAGGCCATGCCTCGATAGATCTCTGAGAGCGAATTTCAGCCGACTGAACGAGTGGGGGGAGGGGGCTCAGAAAGCACATGCCGGCTTCAAGCGACCAACATGCACAACTGGCAGAGGATGGTGGGCTCTTCAGGATATTCAGCCGGCACAAGCGCGGCGCAGCCGAGATGCGGATTCCAAGCTGTTTGGAACACTCAGCTGCCTCCTGATGTAAGGAGATGTGTCCACACTTTCCAACTGCCTCGTTGTCTCGGACTTAAGCTGTTCTGCGTGTGCAGGCTTTTCCGCTCACATTGTGCAGGACTTTTATATTTGTGCCTTACCTTGGCCAAGGGCGCGCACGCATGCTTCGACACCGAAGATTTTGGTAGTGGTCGGCGTTGAAACAATATGGTTGTCAACCCTCGGAACGCATGGGTCATTGAAGGGTGACCGATTCCCAGAATCATCAGCTAAGTTCTGAGGACCGCAAACTACAACTCCACGTTAATCTATGAAACCCTCACGGCAGTCTAAAGACTCAACTCTTACGGTGGTTCTTCTATAATATACAAGTACACGGCACAATAAATCAATATATATATATATATGTATGCACACACACACATACATATATACACACATACATGTATACATATATATATATGTATATACATACATATATACACACATACATATATACACACATACATGTATACATATATATATATATATGTATATACATACATATATACACACATACATATATACACACATACATGTATATATATATATATATATGTATATACATACATATATACACACATACATATATACACACATACATGTATACATATAGATATATATATATATATATGTATATACATACATATATACATACATACATATATACACATACATGTATACATATATATATATACATAGGTAGGTCTGCGCGTCCATATTTCTCCGGCTTCCGCCCACTCGTCTGCACCGCCCGGGCCGCGCCGCGCCGGGCCGCGCCGAGGCGGGCTGCGAGGCGCTCTTCGGGCTGGGCTTCGGCACGCTGAGGGGCAACAAGGGCCAGCACCTCACCATGGCGGCGGCGCGCTCCAGGGACCCGGTTTTGCTCGCTCGGTCGGTCGGTCGCTGGGGGCGGGGGGGGCGCAGTTTTTTTTTTCTTCTCCCATTTTGTTTTGGTCTTTTTGGGGTGGGAACTGTGGACATGTTTTTTCCTTTTCTCTTTTTGTGGGGGGACTGGGGCATGGTGGACTCGAGTCTATTCTGCAAAGTTTTTAGGCTTCCTTGGACGGCGCGAAATGGACAGGTGTCCAACGGGGGACTGGGCCCAGGAAAGGATTTTCCTAGAGGAGAGGAAAGCCAACTATCCGCTTGGAGGGGTTTCGTGTTTTTTAGGGCTCGAAATTACTTTTGCGGACTGGGTGCCTTTAAAGCAAAAAAGAGGGCTTAGCTGCACCTGCCTCGTTTAATAGGGGCGAACACAAATGGGTCCATTGAAGTGGTTCCATTGTGAGGAGGATGAGAAGGGCCCCCAATCACACATGTGCTCAACCTTGGGTGGGGAACTCTTGTCCTATTCAAATTCGCCTGAGGTGTGCTCATCTCGATGTTGGTCATGACAGTTGTTGGTTGCCAAAGTCCTTGTCGGCATATTCCAGCTCCATGACGCCTTTGGCTTCGCTTCGCTTTGTCAGAGGGTTTCAATCCAACTGGTGGGCGTCCAGTCGAAAGCATCAGGAGCATATCTTCAAAGTCTTCGGCGTGGGCTTGGCACGGGAGATGAATTCCCACGCGCCCCCAAAGCCAGGCCCAACCCAGACACCACCTGCTTGAATCGAAATCCTTCGGCATCTGACTTCACTCATTTGTGAAACAACGACTCGAGGCCAGGGGTATGCTTTTGGATGACTCAGTCAGAGAGATTGCGCCAGAGAAGGTAAGTGTGGCATTCGGGATCGAACATGCAAGTTGCTTGTTGAGCATCTACAAATGCGATCCAGATGCCTTGTTTATGTTCAAGATTGGTATGCCTATCTATCCTCCTTGAGCTGTGAGCGTTTGATGAGAGTCGCAGGCGTCTATCTCGGCCAGTACACCCCTGGTGATCCGGTAGACGAAGAGGAGGCGGGATGATGCTGATGCGATTATGAGTCATATCCTCCTGCAGGTGCTGGTCACTGGTCACTGGTCACTCGGAGGCTTAAGTGCAACATGGACAAATGACTTAGTGGTGTGCCCTTTGTCTCTTCCAGTAAGACTTGTTCCCAGCCGGAACGAGGACGTGTCACTGAGCCCTTTGGCGCGTGTTTTCTGAGTCGCGCTCGCGGAGTCGGGTTTTCGGGTGTTCAGGTGCACGAGCTGCAGGATCCCATGGGGCTTCTGCAGCCGAAGGACTGGCAGACTTCGCCCTACCGCCTCGACTTCTCGCCGGGAGCCCGAGCCGAGCCGACGCTCAAGCCGCGGGCGAGGCTGTCTTGAAAGAGGGTGCCACGAGAAGTTGTTTGAGAAGCCATAGAAATTCTGCACTCGGGATTGGCCATGTTGCAATCACAGTCACCGACGTGATGTTCATGGGAGTTGTGAATTAAGCTGGGGGCATGCCATATCATGCTTCACGGAACGGATCTCGGCACCAGAGCAACGGAACTTGTGACCTTCAACTCATAGAGCATTGCAGTCTTCGTGAGATCCAGACCATTTGGCAGGATTTTTGCGCTGAGAAAGCGGTGATTCAAGGCTTCAACCCCTTCCTCCAACCCATCTGATGCTCGACAAAAAAGGAACCCTCCTAAAACCCGATGGGGCTAAACAGGAACCATCAAACAAATGTGAAACCCAAGAAGGAACCCGCCAGGAATACGGAGACTGCTGTGTTTCTCCGGGGAGAGACGCTCCTTCCTCTGGCCTAGGCCTGAGCGCCTGCGGCGCGAGGATGTGCTGGGCCTGGCACTCGTGGATGTGATGACCAGAGGCG